GAGTTGGCCGGCCGCGGTCGGGAAGCTTGTGATCGCGGGAAATAAGCTGGTGGCCGCGGTCGCGTGACTTGCTGGCCGTCTTCGAGTGTCTCCGGGGAAAATGGAATATCTTGAGATCCAACCGTTGGAATGTCTCCAAACCAAGTGCATTTGAAAGCTGGTTGATTCTTCTATAAGTTGTCCAATTTTTAGGGTGATCAGATGGTGAGAAGGTCTTCGTCTCTCCATGAGAGTTATGACGGTCTGTATTTATCCAAAAGAGTCTTTTTGTTCCAATTTGTGCCTTTTTATCCCAAATTACCTGAAAAGTCTTTTAAAATCCGAAAACATAGAAGTCCTTTGAAAATCTTTGAAAATGGAGTAAAAACACCTGTAAAAGACATTAAAGTGATCCATAAAAATGGTCAAAATCTGGTGTTATCACTCTTTTTCAGCACTTATTCTGCAATACAGCGTTGCACTCCTTCGTGACCATCATCACACTCTCTTCTTCAACAGCTTTCCCAGAAACTAATCTTTTCATGTATCGCTTAAGAGCTAGTATCATCTGAACATCATCAACAAGGGAGAGTTTCACAGTTAAATCCCTCAGAATCTCCTTGCATTTTGCTTCCTCTAAGTTCTTGCGAGACCTCTTAGGTGGATCTAGGTATGGCACCTTAGGTGTATAAACTCGTGATGGAGGATTAGCTGGAGTACTTGGCTGGAGCATGTGCTCTGTTGGGGTTCTAGGGTGTTCCATCGTCTCCGCTTCATCAGGAGCAGGTGCTGCAGATGAAGAGGCTTGCTCCATCGTCTTTTCTACGCCATGTGATGGTGCTCTTGCTTGGAGCAGTTGCTCCACGAGCTTCTCCTTTCTTTTTCTGAACCAATGACTGGTGGTGCCGCAGCATGTAGTTTCTTTCCACTCTTCAGCTCAATTGCATTCACATACTCATTCCTGGGATTTTCTCTCTTTTTCGGAAGAGTTACAGGTCTCTTCATAGCTTCAGCAGTCTGAGCTATTTGGACATCCAACTTCTTCACATGAGTCCACACTGCCTAATATTTGCCATTAAGATCACTTTACATTGTATCCACATTAGTGTTGATCTCCATAGATGCCTTTTGCTGATTCACAACTGCTGCATCAGGTTCTTCAGCTTATCTTACGAGTTGTTTGCAGAACTCGAAGAAGACTGCAGATTAGTGAAAGGCAATTTCTGCTGACTTCTTCCTTGAAAACAGTTTTGGGTGGGGATGAACTGCTTCCCTTGAAAACTGTTGGAGTAATTCTTCTGAAACCTTGATTGATTCTGACCTCCTTGCTGCGGATAGACCTGATCATGAGGGTTTTCAACGTTATTGCTCCTATAAGACATATTTGTGGTTCTTGAAGTTTTGATTGAAACCGCGATTCTGCACATAACCTTGCCCACTCACAAAGTTGAGCTCTATCTGATCATCATCCTATCCTTCTCCAAACTTTTGAGAAAGAGGTGCATCGCCATTCTCATCAGCAAAATGTACTCCTTTAGCAGCAAATTCACCTAGGCTGTCAGGTCATCAATCTTATGTGACTCTACGTTGTTAACTGCCTTCCTCAATCTGTTATACTCATGTGATTTGATGCTGGAGCTTGGCGCCAAGTTCTCAACCAACTCTTAGGCACCTGCTTTGGACTTAGTCATAAATCGCCATTGTTGGCTGCATTCAAAGCATTCATGTAGCCCCAGTTAATACCATCATAGAAGGTAGCCAGAATCTGCTCATCAGAAAACCCATGGTAAGGACACTCTCTTCGGTACTCCTTGTACCTTTCCCAAACTTTGCAGAAAGCTTCTCCTGGCTGCTGCCTGAAAAATGAGATCTTGTTCCTCAGAGATGTGGTTTTGGACTTTGTGTAGAAGTGGTCCAAAAACGCTGATCTGCACTGTGCCCATGTAGTCAAAGAACCATGTGGTAATGACTTCAGCCAGCACGAGGCTTTATCCGCAAGTGACAACGGGAAGAACTTGCATTTCAGAAAGTTGCTTGGTATCCCATTTGAACTAGTTGTGCTGCAAATTTCTTCAAAATTCTCAATGTGATCCATCGGAATTTCAGCAGGGAGCCTGTGGAAGAGGTGTCGCTTCACCAATGAGATTATCTGAGGTTTGATCTCAAATTCTTGCCTCTAAATTGTAGGAGGGACAATCGCAGCTCTGTTTTGGTAAAAAGCATGCGGATTATCCTTGTCTCCAATTGCTGGTTTCGGTTGTTCCCTGTCTTATTGAGCCTTTTGCAGCTGCTCCAACTGTTGTCGAAGCTGCTGCAGTTCAGCAGCCATTTCATCATTTTCTTTGTCACCCATGTCGGCTGTAGTAGGTTTTTGTATTCTGTTTGCTCGCTCTACTCTTGCAAGCTCTGCGTTTGATAAGGTGACTAGATCCTCGATACGACTGCTTCTTGTGGATCTCCTTGTCATACACCTGAAACACACGCAAGAGAGAAAAGAGAGAAAGTTAGTGAAATATTAGACTGAATTTCAAGCCAAGAATCAAAGATAACGAATTGATCCCGTCGCAACGGCACCAAAAATTGATTCACTGGATATGATCTGCTAGTTTCTACTGCAGTAGAACAGCTTGTAATTGTAATATAAATGATTCGAACTCCAGAAGACCAGCGTTACACTATGATTCTACGAATATTAAAACAAAGCTAAAACAAAGATGGTTTGTTTGGTTGTAACGTGACACGCAAGAAAATGTAATCAACGATTTAAATTCAATAAAACAAAACACTAGACTAAGGTAATTCACAGGAAGTTCAGAGATAGAAATCAAATGACTATTCAGGACACGGTTTAGATGCAATTCTCGAACTCAAACAATAATGCATATCGACCCACTGTCGTGGCTCCGATAACTTTGTCTAACAACCTAAATTATAAAGTGTCGTTTGAACCTAGAAATCGCAGACAAGCATTAACAAGTAGGTTTGATTTGTTCACGATCCGCCTTAGCATCAACTGTCATTGGCAAAGGACAAATAGCTCACCAGAGTCTTTTCTAGCAACATATTGCACTTTTGATGAACAGGTCAACTAGATTGAGTGATCAATTCAACCTAAGCATTAAGACTAACAGTGGTGAAGATAATCAATATTAAGCCCTATTTGCATTTAATTCAAAAACTCATAAAAATCCCTTAAAAAACATTAATCTAGCTAGAAGACTACTCAGACATGGTGAAAAGAAAAACTACAAGAGATGAAAAGAAATTCATAAAACTTTAGAGATAACAAGAGTGTTCAGAATTCTTTTCAAGTGTAGCAGAAATTCTTCTCCCAAATCTTACAAGCAAAAATCTCCAAAAGGTCTAGAAACTGTAAAAAAAAAAAATGGGTTGATCAAATTAGGCGGCTCTGGTCTTTTATTTCTCTTCATTGGCGTCTCAGAACTAGGTAAAATCGTTTTTCTTATTTTTCTCAGGAGGTTGGAGTAAGTGATCCACGTAAGGGCTTAGTCGAGAGCAGGTGCTCCGACTAAAAAATGATCCATCTGCGTGTGAATTGGTCTTTTTTGCTCAGCTTCAACTCCTTTTTGCTTCAAAGGCTCCTGTTGCTCCAATCCTCGCCTAAAGCCTCCTAGTTATTTGAAACGGCCTGACAAAGACTCCAAAGACTCTAAAAATATTAGAAAATACAGGTTAGAATGAGTCAAAATTGCCACTTATTACTAGTTCAGCTTGAGCCTCTAGCTCATTTTAGCTTCATTTAAACTCTTTGAACTTATCCCACACAATCTCTCAATTTTTCCTTGTTTATCCGGCTAAGTCTTAGATCTTATAACTTAGTTGACCATTTTGGATCGTAGCTTGGTTTAACTTGGTTTAGCTTAGTTTTCCTAACCTTTCTCTTTATCTCTCAGCCATGGTCTATCCTGGCGATCCTAGCGATCAGGAACGTTACAATCATCAAGAGAATTTGTTTCATGACAAATTTACATGTATTTCATGAAACAACAGCCACATTACCTAAGGATTTTATACTATGTTAGATGCCGCAAATCAACGAAACAAAACTAATATGATTAACATTAAAACTAATAATAAATTATTTTAGATTTCCGTATATTTATAAAATGAACCTTTAAAAGAGCATTTGTCATAGGATGATATTTCAACGGTCTCACTATAACATATTGAAGTTGGTCAGAGTCTTGGGTTATCTTTAGAAACTGTATAACTTTAGGGAAAGATGATAATAAATTCTATGAATGTTGATAAACCGCACAAATTTGTTTTGTGACTCTTTTTCAAAATATCTCATACTAATTATAGTTGAATTTTACTTATATATTAAATTATTTTTTGTCAAAATTTCCAACGTGAAACTTGGATTGATATCCAAACAATTATTTTCACAAAGATCACACAAACTCTTGATCATTCCTCTAATGACATGTGATACCCACAACAAAACGTGCTGCCTGATCTTTTACACTGTTAGGAAGACTTTCAACACAAGATACCAACATCCTTTGATTGCAAAGTCACATTGAGAGATTACCTCTCATAACAAACATGCAGCCCACTCCCACTTCTCCAAATCAATATTTTCTGAACCAGGGAAATTCATTGATTTGTTTTTGGGCTCTTTTCCAAAAGACCCATACTAATTGGAGAGTTGATTTGATTTATATGTTACACCATCTTTGTTTAAACTTCTGATTTGTGATTTAGATTGATATCCCAATAATGTTCTTCCAGCTTATGATCCATAAAGCAATTACATATGATGTTTTGAGTTTTCTCTGTTTCGATTGGATAATGTGTGCCAAGGAAAAAAAAAACACAAAACATTATTTTTACTGCTTTTGAACCTGGTGATCGATAATTCTACTATTGGATCAGTCTATTCTGTCAAATATACTTGAGGGAAATACTGATCCAATTTCGAAGAAGAAACATTTATGGGATCAGCAAAATGATTTTCCAATAGTAGAAAAAACCAATGACAAAAAAAACGGTCGTAATATGTCAAACATTTTGGAATCAGATTGTAATATTTGAGTCATACATAGTCATAGCTGAAAATAACAGGAACCATACAAAACAAAGAAATATTCATAGTTCTTTCAAAGAAAAATATAAATGATAAAATAGAAAAAAAAAGAAACACAACATATAACCAGCTCTATTACATGTCACATGTGCATACGGGAGATCAAGATCTCATTTCCTCAAAGATTGGCCAGTTCTTGAATGTTAATGGGGTAAGCGTAAGCACGGGAGTTGAAATTAGACTTGGCAAGCAAAATGTTGGCGGTCTCCGTCGGGTGGAACGCGTCCCAAAAGAGATACTTGGTCCGGTCACTGCACGGCTGCTGCAGCGGTAAACACGTTATCTGACCATTGTTCCTTCCAACTCCACAACAACCTTTGTCCACCACGTCAAATCCTGTTGGATCAAATGTAAAAAAATAGTGGCCATTATAAGAATTTGTAAACTTTTTTCTCAATGTTTTGGATTGTGTGTATCCATACATGTATAACTCACCGTAAGCGGCTCCATTGGCAGCAAGATCAGAGGTGCTTTTGTAGGTATCAAGAAAAACAAACTTGGCTCCTTGTAACTGACCTTTGTTGAAACGGTCTACAAGTTTCTTGAGCTGAGAGTTAAACAGCACAATTGCTTTGTTGATCTTGTCATTGCATCTGCCGGTACTGTTGTTTCGGTTATTGTAGCGGGCTAGCTCGTAAGGTATGCAACCGATCTGTCCCACCGCGGTCACAACCACTTTCCTAGCTCCAAATTGGTACAATCGCTGAGAAAAAAGAATCATATGAGATATGCGAGCAAATGACGAAATTCTTGATGATTCTCTACATTATTGGTCGATTCTTACAGTGAGTTGTTGCGTGTAGTTCTTTATGAGAGCATCTGCATACGTTTTGTCATTGAAATCGGTACTGGTTGAGTAAAAGTCAGGCATGAAGTAATTGTTGAGATAGTCGTTACTTCCCATTCCAGAATAAAATATACAACGACTCAAGTATCTTTGGAGCTCATTTGTGTCTCCTCTGAAGTATCGAAGCATCTGTTGAACCGCGCTTGTGTACAGATCTACCTGCTGGTTCATAGAAGTATGCGCACCCTGAAAACAATTTTAGTATAATTTAATATATAGGTTTACAATGGAATGGATGTTGCTTTTAGAATTTTTTTGATGATGGATAATAAAAGAACATAAGATTTGTGTACCAAGTTGTCACCAGTCTCATCTCTAATGCCAGCTGCACCAGATGCGAAATTCGCACCTCTTAGCAGAGCCTGGCCACGAATCCTGGAGTATGGTGGAATGTAAGTCCGAAATCCAAGAATTTGAGCTACAAAAACAATAGAAAAATGTGAATATACGTACATTAATACAAACTAGCCAAAATATATAATGATTATATTGTCAAATTGAGAGAGGTTTTCCAGAATGCATTTGCGTTCAGAAATAAAAACTCCCTGAACACATTGGTACACTACAAGATTACTATTATGTCTCTCACGCTTTAACTTCACCTTCACCTTTTTTTATGGAAATCTTAAGAAGACATTGCCGAGACATATTTTGCATGTTGAATATCTCCACAGATGTCTTCGTGAATATCCAGTCTGTCTTTCTACATATGTTCTTACAGGTTTTCTTAGGGGATTATTTTGATCAAATTCATTATTTTTAGTGATGTTAATATATAATAAAACAACATATTTCCGAGAAAAAATGTGAAGGTGAAAAAAAGTGTGAAGAACATGAAAGAAGAATAAAAAGGGTGAGAGAGATTGATTCCATTTACATTTTCTCTTAGTAATAATATTATGATTTTACGATATAATTAAAGAAGAATTAGGGAAACCATATAAATGCACACAAGAAGTACCAAGTGCATCAACGTAGGTGCGCCCGTTGGTGAACCGTCCGGTTGCGCCTTGGGGAAAGTCGATTCCATAAGGCCGGTAATTAGCCCGCGCAAGAGAAAGCAGCCTACATTTATTCAAACTTACTATAAATTTGTGTAACACATAGATGGAAAGATATCAGTACTGCATAGAAGAAAGAAGCAAATTTAAACCTGTTATTGTTTCCATTATCGACTAAGGAGTCACCGAAGATGAATAAACATGGGACTTGTGACTGTTGTGGCTGTGACACGGCCGTTTTTAGACCAAACAAAACCAGACCCAAACTAACCAACAATATAAAGCGGAGAATACCCATTAGGTTAAAATTGTTAGTGTATCTCAAGAAGAAATGAGTTTGAGAAGGGTTTGAGTGGTTTTTCACAGTTATATACTGAGGAAAGGTGATTGGTTGGTTGGTTTTGGTTCGGTACATTATAATTGGTTTCATGTGCTGGTCGATTTTTGACAGTTGGTTTCTTTTTTTAATTCCTCTCTCTCTCTCTCATAACTTACTTCAGTTTAGCTGCGGCTATATTCACAGGCGTCTCATGCAATCTCGTGAGGTCTCAGAGTCTAATGTGTTGCTTTCCAGTTGTTTGGGTCGCAAGTCACAAGACTATCTTTGTAAGTTGTTACAAATGGAACAGTACTAAGAAACTATTTTGTTATTTTGTAAAAGGGGAAAACTAAGATATGTAATTCGTTATATTGTAAAGGTAGTTCTACCAAGTTCCAAAAATCTACGACACTACTTAAAAACAAGGATCCAAAATAGGATTAGAGTTGGAGCAACAAGCACCCCACACATATCTGCAATTTTAAAAGATTATGATCTAGCAATATGCTTTTACGGCTTTGTAGGCATGTAAATCTAAATTAACATTGTAAACTTTCAATTTTCATGTTGGAAGTTGTGAGTGGTATAAATGGTGAAATTTCTTTGAATGATAGATAAGTTCTGACTTCTGAATCAACTTGTAAGTGGTAAATGGTGAAACCCGTGAACACCAATATATGAAGATTTACTTACAAACACAAGGCATTATACAATAAGTTATAGATCTAACTTATATGATGAGTTTTTAGAAGTAGACTGACCTCCATGTTGATTGGTAAAGCACTATCTATGAGACCCCGACAATACTTAACCTATTTTTATATCTATGCATAATATTTCAGCAAGGTTTAGGCTTTGTTCCTAACATTAAAAACTGTTGTGCCATATCGAACTAAGCTTGGACTTAAACAAAAGTGGTTTGTATTTTTGGACATAAATGGAACTTGGAAGTTTCATTGTACTTTGGAAAATTCATACAAAACATCTCCTTGAGGACATTTTAATCATCCTAACCACAATGCTGGGTTCATTCACAGGCTTTTTAAAGATAGTCACATCTTCAACGAACACGACGAGCTTTATCTTCCTGCCCCAACCCCAGAGACTTCTGTGCATTTGCAATGCCTTCCGGATCTGCATCAACGATATCAATACGTCAAACCCGCATACTAGCCAATCAAATCAAGGGTCATTGAGAGGATCAAGGTTGAAAAATCACTAAGAATGCCATCTCTACTTTTATCAGATGACAAGAAAACAAAAATCTGTTGAAGTAACCCATTGTATTAGAAATTTTTTATACTCACCAAAGAACTGAGTGAAAATACGGGTGAAGAAGCTCAAGTTACGAGAGACATTGTACGCCATTGCAGGAGGAAGAGGCTTCACCAAAGTGTCTATAGTGAATACTCTTTGCAGGAACTGTAATATAGAGTCAGACTTTACAAGTTAGGAAAAGGGAGACTGAATCTTTACAAAGAAAACTGAAGCTATTCATAAACTGCTGCTCTGTGAACACCATGAAACTGCCACAACATGCCCTCTATGTACAGACGGTTCGCAGTGTGTCATGAATATTCAAGTTCTATTCAAAACAGTTCCAATCCCAAGGATTATAAAACATGCCTACTTGGCTATTTATATAACTAAGTGGAGGTAATAGATTGCCATGTCCGAATACTAGCTACACAGTATCTCCTCAACCAAGATACTAAGTAGTCTATAGCCTTAGTGACCTTGATTAACAGTACAAAAGCAGTACGAAAGATACTTTTGGTGACAAAGTTGGGTCTAATCACCAAAGGTAAGCTACCACCTTACCATAATGCAACGCATATAAAAGTACGAAGACCACTTTAATACAGTCGTACGGTGAGAATAGTTTGTTCTTGAAATGTGAACCCGCTATACGTGATTCTATCCACGAGCTAAAAGTTTAAACCTTGAATGATGCAGAGACACCAAACGAGTATGAACCATTTTCAAAGAAAAGTTTCAACATTCAGAACTTGGATTTGACAAATTATGTTGGAAGTCGAAACTCTATGTAACAAAGAGAGATAAATCCATTAGAAACCATTCTTTGCAGCTAAAATTTACTTCTTTCGCTTGACATGAGGCTTCAATATTAGACAGTGACAACACATAAACATAAAGGATTGATCTTTTTCGCATTTTTACAATACCCATTAATCTAAAGGAGTGAACAGAGAAGCTAATAGAGGCAAGGTTACAACTTTACTAGTAATCTCCCAAATTTTCAAAACTCAAATTGAATTTCCTAAGGCAGAAACAGAGAGAGGATTTTTAAGAGACCTGATAGTTGCGATTGAAGCTGTATCGAAGCTGAGGATCGATTTCGAGAGAATCATCGTCATCGGCGAGACTACCTTTCTTGGTTCCATGGCTAGGGACGTGCATCTTCGACATGCCGTCAGATTCCTTTGTGACCTTAAGCTTCGCGCCGCTAAACTTATCGGAGTCATCGTCGTCTCCTCTCCACGGCGCTTTCGATAGCAGCTCCTTCTTCTTCGCCATTGTTGTCTTCGGCCAATTCTGAGTTCGCCAAATTTCGTGAGTATGTGTGGGATAAGGCCCCAAAGATTTGGTTCGGTTTCAGAGTAAAACTTGTAACCGAACGAGAGATATTGATATCCGCATAAACAAACAAGCCCAAATTATAAAAATCTTTAATGATCAGATTTTTCTTGTTTGGTTACGGAATAGGATATATCATTTTCCACTTAAAGTGTTAAAACTTATAGAGGGATTAATAGAAAGTTGATTTTTGGAGATTTTTAGAATTTGATGTTTTATAGTTATTGGTTTGTGAATTTTTACATTCTTAATAGATTCTAATGTTATTCATAAACAGATTGTAACATTCTTTAAAAATCTATTGTTTATTGGTTTGATGTTTTTTATAATCTAATCAAAATTTACTGGATTAGTAAATTTTTCCACGCAATGGGCGGGCTAATATAATTGTCAATTTGATTGTTTAAAAATCTAATATTAATTTGGATTCATTTGTTTTGTTTGTTATATTTCTCTATATTTTAATGTTTTATTAAATTTTCCGTTTTATTAAATTTGAAAAACAGTTGTTGACAGCTACAAAAGTAGAATGATATGTACATAATTTATATAAGGCTATATAGTATATGTTAATACTTATTTAGAAAAAAATTAGTATATGTTTACCTGATGACTCCATGAGTTTTTAGTTAGAATGAAGAAGAAGGAAGAGGTTAGACAATTTTAAAAGCTATGAGAGAATTAGAGAAAAGTAGTTGATATTTATACTAAATCATAAGAAATCAGAAACCCTATAAATATTTGCGATATTCCATTAGTTAGAGATGATTTTTTTTTTGAAACGATATTCCATTATTTTTTAAATAAATTCTATTATTTGTTTCTTTTAACATTTTTGTTATATTGTTTTTTAAAATTTTGGAAATATAAAAATGGTAATTACTAAAAGATATAGATTCTATTTTTTGTGTTTTTTTTTAAACTTTTTTGTGGATTTTTACATTCTTAATAGATTCTCGTGTGTGTTTATGTGTGGGATAAGGCCCAAAAGATCTTGTTCGGTTTCAGAGTAAATCTTGTAACCCAACGAGATATTGATATCCGCATAAACAAACAAGCCCAAATTATAAAAAGCTTTATTGATCAGGTTTTTCTTTTTTGGTTACAGAGTAGGATATATCATTTTCCACTTAAAGCGTTAAAAACTATAGAGGGATTAATGGGAAGTTGATTTTTGAAGATTTTTAGAATTTAATGTTTTATAATTATTGGTTTGTGGATTTTTACATTCTTAATAGATTCTAATGTTATTCGTAAACAGATTGTAACATTCTTTAAAAATCTATTGTTATTGGTTTGATGTTTTTTATAATATAATCATAATTTATTGGATCTAGTGAATTTTTCCACGCAATGCGCGGACTAATATAATTGTCAATTAGATTGTTTAAAAATCTAATATTAATTTAGATTCATTTGTTTTGTTTGTTATATTTCTCTACATTTTAATGTTTTATTAAATTTTCTCTTTCATTAAATTTGAAAAACGGTTGTTGACAGCTACAAAAGTAGAATGATATGTACATAATTTACATAATGCTATATAGTATATGTTAATACTTGTTTAGAAATAAATTAGTATATGTTTACCGAATGACTCCATGAGTTTTTAGTTAGAATGAAGAAGAAGAAAGAGGTTAGACAATTTTAAAAGCTGTGAGAGAATTAGAGAAAAGTAGTTGATATTTATACTAAATCATAAGAAATCGGAAACCCTATAAATATTTGCGATATTCCATTAGTTAGAAATGATTTTTTTTGAAACGATATTCCATTATTTTTTAAATAAATTCTATTATTTGTTTCTTTCAACATTTTTGTTAGATTTTTTTAAAAAATTTTGGAAATATAAAAATGGTAATTACTAAAAGATATAGATTCTATTTTTTGTGTTTTTTTAAAACGTTTTTTGTGGATTTTTACATTCTTAATAGATTCTCGTGTGTGTTTATGTGTGGGATAAGGCCCCAAAGATCTTGTTCGGTTTCAGAGTAAATCTTGTAACCCAACGAGATATTGATATCCGCATAAACAAACAAGCCCAAATTATAAAAAGCTTTATTGATCAGATTTTCTTGTTTGGTTACGGAGTAGGATATATCATTTTCCACTTAAAGCGTTAAAAACTATTGAGGGATTAATGGGAAGTTGATTTTTGGAGATTTTTAGAATTTAATGTTTTATAGTTATTGGTTTGTGGAATTTACATTCTTAATAGATTCTAATGTTATTCGTAAATATATTGTAACATTCTTTAAAAATCTATTGTTATTGGTTTGATGTTTTTTATAATCTAATCAAAATTTATTGGATCTAGTAAATTTTTCCACGCAATGCGCGGACTAATATAATTGTCAATTTGATTATTTAAAAATCTAATATTAATTTGGATTTATTTGTTTTGTTTGTTATATTTCTCTACATTTTAATATGTATTAAATTTTCTGTTTTATTAAATTTGAAAAACGGTTGTTGACAGCTACAAAAGTAGAATGATATGTACATAATTTATATAATGTTATATAGTATATGTTAATACTTGTTTAGAAAAAAATTAGTATATGTTTACCTGATGACTCCATGAGTTTTTAGTTAGAATGAAGAAGATTGAAGAGGTTAGACAATTTTAAAAGCTGTGAGAGAATTAGAGAAAAGTAGTTGATATTTATACTAAATCATAAGAAATCGGAAACCCTATAAATATTTGCGATATTCCATTAGTTAGAGATGATTTTTTTTGAAACGATATTCCATTATTTTTTAAATAAATTCTATTATTTGTTTCTTTTAACATTTTTGTTAGATTTTTTTAAAAAAATTTGGAAATATAAAAATGGTAATTACTAAAAGATATAGATTCTATTTTTGTGTTTTTTTAAAAACGTTTTTTTGTGGATTTTTACATTCTTAATAGATTCTAATGTTATTCGTAAACAGGTTCTAACATTCTTTAAAAATCCATTGTTATTGGTTTGATATTTTTTATAATCTAATCAAAACTAGTTAATTTTTCCGCGTCTTACGCAGACTAATATAATTTATATTTGATTGTTTGAAAATCTAGTTTAAATAGTTTAGAGATATTTTTATCACTATTCTATGTATTTTAAACGTAATTTTTTGAAATACCGTATGAATTTATTCGATTTTGATCATTGTTTTATGTGTTTTAAACATCACAAATACCGTCATTCCATTAGTTAGATATATATATATATTCTTTTTTTTGTTAGAGATTTTTTTTTTTAATTTCAGTTTTTTTTATTTGAAACGATATTCCATTATTGTTTAAATAATTTCTATTTTTTGTTTTTTATATATTTTTGTTAGATTTGTTCTAAATTTCGGAAACATAAGAATTAGTAAACACTAAGAGATACAGATTCCATTTTTTTATAAAAAAAAAACGTTTCTGTTAAAAAAAAATTTTAATTTCGGTTATAGAATTTTAAAAACAGTTTGTTTTATTTTTTTAAAAAAAAAATTCGATTGACGATGAAATTAAACATTAAACTATAATAATTTATACCGGTTTGTTTTAATTTTTTTTTTACACATCATCAGATAAAAACCAATAAAAAAATAACACGTAACTACAAAATAAGGATAATAGTCTTTTTACAGCCGAAATTCATTTTAGAGCTAACACATAAGTGAAAAGCTGTGAAAATTGTTGTGAGCGTGACACATAAACAAATCATCACACAAATAAATATATAGATTTAACTATAGAAAATAAATAAAAATATTACAAAACATGGAATAGATATACTTAATAGGCTGTTTTTTGAAATAAATAATAATAATATTAATATATTAATGAACATTATAATAGAAGTCATAAAGGATCTTTAAAACTACATTTCTATTAAATGTTTCTTAAAAAAATTGAATTGATTTCTAACTAAATAAAAATTAATATGAAAAATACAAATGAAAATTTGTAAAATCTGAATATATTTTATTTTTAAATTTATATAGATTGATTATTATTTACTTTAATAATTTAATATATTAATAAGTAAAAAAAAACTGAATACAAATTTGAATGCAAGAAACAAAACAGTTTTTCATATTCTATTCAGTAACTTTGAAAAACAGTTATATATATCATTTGATATCTTAATTATCTGTTCTTATTCTTCATGTCTTACGACACTTGCTAATCTATTGTGCGTACATTCTCCACTCGCGGTTTCTTTGGTAAAGGTAATCTCAACACCTTTCACATCTTTTGGCAAAAAAAAGCACCTTACATATAAATTCAAGATTATTTTTCATTCATTGCATTTTCTGTAGTTAGGCTACATGTCAACGAGGACCATGGAGAATGAGAGGATAGCAGACTTGTTAGAGAACACCTTCCATCTCAAGGTAGGGCACGGGCACGACCATGCCTGAATAACTGGAGGAGACCATGACGAAGTCGATGAAGGATGATGATACGACGGAGACGACCACAGTGACGAAGTGTTGGGATTTTCATGATTTCTTTTTTATACTTGTCTTTTATTATTTTTCCTTTTTTGACTTTTGTGATTAGTGATGATTGCGATATTTAGTGATAGATTACAACTTAAGTCTACAACTCTCATAGAGTTGTGATTCTAACCACTAATAATAAATTGCCTAAATAAAAATTTCTCAAAAGTAAGCAATCAAATGTATTAATAATCTCATAACATCGAAAACTACTATTATTCAGGATATCAAAAAAGAATATCAATACTGTTATTGGTTTGATGGTTTCTGTTTGTCATAATATTATTGGTTCAATTTCAAATATAAACTAATTAACTAGTATTTAACTAGTTATTACAACAACAATATTTGGAAGAACCGGGTCCAAGGACAACACAAGAACCCTGTTTGTATTTCTTAGTCACACAAATCGCTTTGCACTGTTTGTCGCCAAATTTAGGAGTGCAAGGATTGAAGCTTAAGCAAAGACGTTGAATTAAAGCCTCGCCTGGTGTACCTAATCGGAAAATCCATTTCGTTAGATAAAGTGTATGCTAGAAATTCTATAAATTAATATTCAATAAACTAATAAATTTAAATAATTAATAATTATTTTGGTTCCAAATTTATGTTTTGAATCAATTAATCTCTTTATAAATTAATACCTCTCTAAATTAATAAAATTTCAGGATGTCAAAAAAAAAATTAATAAAATTTCAGAGTCTTAATATTATTAATTTATAGAATTTTTACTGTATAACAATAATAAAATTTATTTATAAGTAATGAAACACAGAGTTTATAACTTTCAGATATTCAGTATTATTGTTTTTTTTTAACACGGATTTTTGACAACTTGTAATCTGATAAATGATGCTAAAATTTAAATCAAAGTTGTTGAGAGATATATACAAATATAGTGGAAAACAATATGAAAATATATAAATACCGGAGACGTGATCGCTTGTTTGGCAATGGACGGAGGAAACCCCGATGAGAACGGTGAGGGTAAATGCAATCATCATTTTTGAGGAACCCATCTTCACACAATTATATTTCTTACACTTTCGAACAGTTTAATTATAAAAAAAAATGTTATGTTTTTTAGTATACTAATTGACAAGCAAGTATAAGTCTATTTATAATTATACGAAATGGCCGTTGAACATAACTCATTTATAGCTAGATATTCTTTTTTACCTTTTGACCTACCAGGATATGACCAATTGACCATTAACGATCTCTTTTAAAAGTTTTAGTAACCTGACACCAGTTAGAGATATAATTATTGATTCATTTCTAGATTTTTAACATGCTATATGGAAATATATTATTAATTATCTTTGTAAAGATACAGTAAGTAGACTATGAAAGCTGCAAAATTCAAAATTGAAGATGCTACATTCTCGGATAGAATCGGTCATTTACCTGATGATTTGCTCATCCGAATCCTCTCATTACTCCTAATAGCCGATGCAATTAAGACAAACTTACTATCTAAGCAGTAGTAATCTTTATGGAAGATGATGCCAAGGCTTGAATACGATGCAAAATCTTGTCATTACAAACGTAATCACATAGTATTTTTAATTATAGTAATAATCATTTAGTAAGTTTATGTATAATACTAGAACTTAATCCGCTGTTTATTTTTTGGTTAAGTTAAGATTGGTTAGTACATAGATAAATAAGTATATATTAACATCATACAACCAAAATTTACATATATAGTATTCGTCAAATAGGAAATTTGTATCATCGTGCAAGCTAATCTTTTATATATAAAGTCTAGTTGTGATAGTGATAGAGAGTTTAATATATCCTAACTTGAATTAGAGCCTAGATATGTATATCCATAAAATATGAATTTAGTTGTGAAGTTTTTTTATTTGATATTAGACAATCACATTCTGTTAATAAATTCTATAATATTATTTACTAATGATTATAGATAGAATAATCAAAATAAACTAATCCACATACTTAATTTATTCTGCAGTGGACTAAAATATCTTTTGGATTAACCCACAAAAAAATATAATCTTGAAAATTTTTTTAGGACTAACCACCAACTGTAATTTATATTGTTTAATGACTGTGTGTTTTGTGATCAATCCATAAACTGTTGAGAAATTTTTTTGATTGTCTAAATCAAAGTAGTAAACTATTTTATCAAATTTAGTTTTGAAATATACTCAACAAATATAACAAGCTATTGTTAATTTTTGAGAAACTTTCCTATTACAGAAGAAACTCTATAAATTAATAATCAATAAATTAATAAATAATATAAATTAATAATTTTTCATAGTCTTGAGTTGAACTGATTTACAATATGATACTATTTGATAAAAAAAATAACATAATAACCTTAACAAATCTCCTATGTAAATGTATGGTCTCATTCATATCATAAATTAATAGTTACCATAAAAAATCTGATATAAGCATATAAGTAAGATAATCTATCAAATATGAGTGTAGTGATATTTTTTATTCATTTTAAATGAAAATCTTCTTGGAATTCATCTTAAATTTTAGAAAAAAATTTCAAATATTATAATATTTTTTAAAAAAACTCATTTTAAAATTAATTAAAAATTAATATTTAAAATCTAAAAATTAATAACTCTATAAATTAATAAGATATTAAAGTCCCAACATTATTAATATAGAAAGTTTTTACTTTATTAGTAAAGTGACCATAACATCTATTTTTAAAACTAACATAATAATATTTTAATTTGCAAAATTCACTTTTGTGGGCAAATAAAAACTAGACTCTTAACCCACTGCATAGCAAAACAGTTTATGTCCAATCTACATGTCATTAGCTTTAATTGACCTTTTTAATTATATAATAATAGATTATGTTTCAAGTTATAAACAAATAAAAATAAATTAGTATTAACTTTAAGATTGATAATCTCCATAAATTATCTATATAATTATATTCTAACCTAAAATTTCTATTTGGTTATTCAGAAATTATGTTTTATAATTCGCTTTTTAAAAACTTCAAAATTGATCCATATTACCTATGAACAATCTTTCTAGATGAATGAGAGTGCTTCTTTTAGATATATTAAAACTGAATCTATATTATGACCTTATATATATTTAGCAGTTTATATTTTTTTAATTTGTAGTTTTTGTTATTTTCACATATTTTACTTTTAAAATTTTTATTATTTTTCTTTTTTAAACAATTTTTTTTTTGTTTTTATATTTAGAAATAAATAATAAATATTAGAAAATTTATAATATTTCACTAACGCTTTCAAAATTATGATTAATCATGATACATGATACAATCTGATAGGTTATAAAAAATATTATGTGTCAATTTCACGTTGAGCATGCATGCTGAACTTCATATAATAAGATCATTCTTTATAAAAATTAAATAGAAATATTACAAAATTTGATAAATTTATTAGTGGATTGTTTTTAAAAATAAATAATAAAGTATTAATCAACATTACAATAGATGCCAAAAAGTACTTTTAAACATATTTTGATTTAGTTACTTTGAAAAAAAAAATTGATTTCTTAAAAAAATACAAGTCGAAAATATTACAAAATCAAGAATAAATTTGTTAAAAATTGATTTTTATGAATTGATTATTATTTAAAAGAATATAATATATTTTAGTATCTTAATAAGCAAAGAAACTATATACAATTTTGAATGCATGGTGAATTTTTTTTTTCAAAAACATTAAAACAGTTATATTATTTTTATTTAAATTAATATTTTTTATTTGCAATGATGTTTATATAATAAGTTACGAAATAATGTTTATACTCCAAATGAGTCATAACAATATAACATAATAATATAGTGGCTAGCTTTTTCTGTAATTAGATTCATATTAATGAATTGATTAAGCAACTAGAGAATGGCGTTTTGAATCACCCAAACCTTCTTTAACAAAAAAAAATCACCCAAACCTTATTCTTAACATAAACCGTCACTAAATACTTTTGTCATCATCACTAATAGCTTGTATATTTGGGCTTCTATTTTTCTTATGACTTGATCGATCATTACCCAAGTACGTAGCTCATAAATTTGAGCTTTTATTTACCTTTAAACCCCTAATTTGACCCCAAAATTTTAACCAATCAATCAATGTTTGTGTAACAACAAAAGAAATTAAACCAGCATATATAAATTCTTCTTCTATAATGTCACCAATGACCATATCTGACAATTCTTTATTTGTATTCATACTCATAATAACGAAATAAGAAATGATTGTATAAAGAATATTTCTGTTTTTTATTGATATTATATTTTTAAATTTTTGACATATACAATTAAGAAAAAATTGATGTTCAGTTATAAATGTTTAACTTTCTTACACTAAACAATTCACATGATTCTAAACTAATAGTAATTAAGAAATTCAATTATTTTCAGTAAATGCTGTTTTTTAAAAACTTCTTTCAGAAAATGTTTTCTGAATTTAGAATTTGGTTAAAAACGAATAGTATGTTTTAATATACCGCTTCAGTAAATGTACTGAACCCCGTAATTAATAATCAAGATAAAGCAAAAACACACACCAAAATAAAATAAAAATGCCAGCTAAGCAAAGTCGCTCTGAGTCCACTAGGTAAAACAATTAACCGGCCCTGAGTCCGGTGAACTGCATCGATCTCCGCCGCAAACGTATTTCCCGGCCAAAAATTAACGGCGACGATTAACATCCACCGGACAAAACGGTCTTCCAGCTCGAGCCCGATGGCTAGGAATGGTGAAATGTCTCAGCCTCCCGTTTTGCTCCCTCATATATCCTTTACACAAGAAAGTCGCAGAGAACTCATCTTCCACCGGCCGGTTAACGTCGTGTACAAAAACATCGGTTTCTCCGTCTTCACGGTTACGAGCCAAAAGCCCCGCCGTGTAAATAGCGCTCATCCTCCCCGGAGCTTCTTCGTGGTAACCAGTCGGAGCATCCACCATTATCAGATCCCATTTCGTTTCGTAAAAATCCGCCGGAAAATCTTTCAACGCTAGATCGCATTTCGAATTTCTCGGATCGGACACGGATCTACACTCCTCTGATCTTCCTAGCTCCATCAACTTGTCCGAATCTTTCACTTTTGTGTCGTAAACGACGTGGTAAGATTCTAAATTTGGGAACTTTTTAGTCACAATCGCAATCCAAGCCTTGTCTTCTTCGATAAACACTGAAATTGAAAAGAAAAAAAGAGATCTTTTTTTATGAAAAACCAAGAAATTTTCGTTAGATCTGTTGTTGTAGTGTAAGAAACAGAGGAAAGCCAAACACTTACAGGTACGACCACCATGGTTGAGAGATGCCCACATCAAGCTATCGTGACCTAAGCCAAAGACGAGGAAGTTACAAGGAGACTTCTTGTCCAAGACTCTCTTTGAGACAGAGACTTCGTCGAATGTCTGTTGTGGAGTAATGTTACTGGTGACGTAGTGAACCAATGCGTCTGATAAAGAAATTGGCATCTTTGTGCATTGTTGTGTTGATGGACATCCTTCTGGTTTATGCTGATATTCTTCTTCTTTTTCTTGGGAGAGATTGGTTTTGGAGATGGACTTTGAAGAGATGTTTGATCTTGCAAAGAAGATGATTAGAAAGATCAAGATTGAGCAGCATATGTATATGACCTTTAGATTAACAGAAGATTGAGTTTTGGTCCTCATTTTTCAATTGATGAATACAACAATTGAGGAGGGATTTGATAATAGTGAGAACTAGGGTATGTACATATAGAGAGATGAGTTATTGAATAATGTAAGCAGAAAAGAAAGAGAATGATTGAGTAAGTTGAGGAGGACATGAAAGCTACTACGGTTGCTGTTCTTCCAATACAATAGAAGTTGGTGGTGAATTCATATGCTAACTAATTTTCGTCTCCATATTATAATGTATATCTCTATTTTATATATTTATGATAATTGGGAGATGTGAAACGTAATGGCGAGAATTATGGCTTTAAAAATTGATGCTTGAAAGAGAAGAATCTTATATTGATCCAGAAACAAGACATGTGTTAAAAACGAACCAACATGGTGGTTGCAACTTTCTTATTCCTTGTTTTTTAATTAACCCAATGTTGATATAACAACTTTGGAAAGCCATTGTTCAAAAAGAAAAAAGAAATAAACAACTTTGGTTCTTTGTTTCTTGAACACTTATATTTGTCCAACGAATTATCATCACCATTTGTTTGTTTATATTCGTTGTATAATAATTAAAATAAATTAAAACTTTCATTTCCACAATTTCAACTTCCAGGGGTCGTCGTCCAATTCAACTCGGTTTAACTTAACCAAATATACAAAACTATAGTTGCCAACCAATTTGTCACGTCAATAATGCCAAAATCCTCTTTGTGGGTTTTTTTCATCTTCAATAATATACAAGAGTTGGAGACAAAACAAAAACTTCATTGATTTGTTTTTTTTGTCGCATTGATTTGGTTTCTTTCTATAAATAACAACTCGACAATAAATTTTTTTAGTTCTGTCTTCATATTAGAAACCAAGAAATTATTGTTCTAAAGGGAACCGAATGAAAATGGATTGCCTAGTAATTAATAACTTTCAAGGAAGAAAGATAATGAGGCGGTGAGGTCAATTAAGATTTAAGACTTGGGACAATTCATCATCATTAGTCGTTCCTCCACCGTTTTGTTATTGTAACTAGGAATGATCCTGGCTTTTACTGCAGACTAAAAAAAGGTGTATTCTTCAGCTACATACTACTCCTGCAATGTTGTCTGCATGTAACATGTTCTATTCCAAAAATGAAATCATATAAGTTTCCTGAATTTTGGTACAACACTATCTTGTACGGAGGACCAGGGGGTTGTACATTCTAGTTAACATGTGTTTAACAGTTTAAGATCTCTTCTGATTAAGTTTCTTCTTATTTTTCAGCTAAAGCTACAAAACAAAAACGGATGTCCTGATCTAAAGCTTCTTTTGTGAGATTTAACACAGGTACAAGAATGTTTGGGTGGGTGTTTAATTAGGAATAATTCAATTCGCAGAGTTTTTTTAATGCTGATTAATAGGTTATTAAAAAGAATCAAAATACCAAAGGGTCCAAAGTAAATAACAACACAAGAACACACAAGTTTGCATTTTGTTCTTTATATATGTGTATGTTTTAAAAATCTTCAGATGAATTGCTCTAATATTTTATTGGGATTTTTGCTAAAAATAACCTAAAACTTAACTTTGAATACAAAAGTATACTCTTGAAAAAACATTTGGCAAAAATAACTTAAAAAGTATTGAAAGACCATTTAATCTTGTATGACTAAACAAAAAACGGATGTCATAATTACCGTTTACACCCTGACGAAGTCTACTAAAAAGAGATATCGAAATAAAGTTTACTAAGTAATTAAATCAGGAAATTTAATTTTAAAATTTAGAAAAAATTATTTTGGTATCAAAATTACATTTATAAATTCCCTAATTGTAATCCAAATATATATAAATTATTTTTTCATATTGATAAATAGAAATTTATGTTTTAAAATTAAGAAGAAGAAAATCTATTATTTAGGTTTTAAAATTTGTATACTTCTGTATTGAAGTCTGCTAAACCGAATAAATTATTTTAACCGAAAATTAAACCAAAAATAACAATTTAACCAGAAAATTTTATCCCATTATATAATAAAAATAACCCTAATTTTATCCTCATTCTAAAATGGCGCTGCTCCTCTCTCTCTCGCCTCCCTTGCCACTAACCATTGCCGCCTCTCGCCGTTAACCTCCACCGGCTCCTGCGAATCTTCTTGTCAAGGTAAGATGTGGCTGTTTCTTCTCGCTTTGGTATCTTTGTTGTTCGATTCATGAATTTCGCACCATCTGATGAAGATGCAGGCAATGTAGGAGAAGATGAAGATATAGAAGGAGAAAACGGAGGATCTGCTGAAGGAGAAGGACGAGATCTTGATGAAGAAGGAAAAGGAACTCGAGACGAGGGATGTTGAGTAGGAGAAGCTTAACGCGGAGCTGAAAAAACACTGCAGAAGATGAAGGAATTCAAGCCTCATATGGTACGATTTCTATATCTACCTCTGGTTTTCCATATTTTATAGCAAATTACTGAAGATCCGGATTTGGGTATGCTTCTGACTTTGAGCAAATATCACTTTGTTTAGTCACTAAATCCTTCAACTCTTATCCGCAGGTGCAAAATCTTCTGCAGCAAATGGTGGGTTTTCTTACAGATTTTTCTGTCTCATTAGGCATGTGAATTGCAGCTTCAAACAAGTAGATTCTGATAAATCTGGTCTTTTGTAATTTTTATTAAAACAGGGTGCAAGTTACTATCAGATAAACGACCAGCTAGATACAGCATGCAAGTTACTATCAGACTAAGACGGATCCATCAACAGGGACCTGCAGATTTCCGATTATGATAGAGCCTTATTACGGTGGGGCTGTTCACGGACAAGTGTTCTTCATGCCACTGCTGCTTGCCACAGCCATCACCATGCTGTCTATTTTTTTATGGTTTCTTGTCAATTTGTAACTCTTATGTGTGATGGTGTTTTTACTTTTCTTGAATTCTAGTTTCCCCTCCTTTAGAACAAGTGAACATAGTGCATTTTGAAGGAATCAAAATGACCCTAAAGATGCAAGGCCCATCTTTATGTCGTTTCAAATCTGGTAATTATGGTACTAACATTCTGAATAAGAATTTTGTCTGATGTTTAGCACATTTGATAATCTTCATTACAAGTATTAGCAGTGAAATAGCACCGGTCCAGCAAATTTGGGAAAATTTGTGAAATCGTTACAATATCATCACTGAATAGTCTGAATTGCAACAAACAAAAAACAAATCATCGCAAGTTCAACTTATGACAGCGAGCTATATAATCACGGTCTCTGTTTCCACTAATCACGGCGAGCAACTTGTAGTGGCAATGATGTAGCGTATCAACTTTTTAATGAGAGATGAATACTGTATGTAGTCGTGTGCTAATGACAAAGACTTATATATACTTGCAAAGATATTGGCACTATGCTTTCACTGTTTTAGGAACAAACAGAGCTTGAAGGAGCAATGTACAAAAACATGGGTTTTACATTTTAATTCAATGTCACAAAGTATGCCAAATCCAAAGAAAAAAAAAACAGAAGAATATGGTTGGTGTTACTAAGAGAACTTATAAATATAAATGTCTAACTTTACAATTTTTTAGAATTTATGAAAAAAAAATTTATGGAGTTAATATTTTCCGTAATAAAACACAGAAAAACCATATTAGCGAAAAAATAATTACAAACTACATTATTGCAAAAATGTAAGTAACAAATTTTCTATATAGGAGACTTATTGTGTAGACTTCATCCGTAGACTATAGATGAAGTATACTCTTCCAAGCTAACTAGCTATTAAATCAAGAAATTTGATTTCACAATAAATATTGACTTAAAACAAATGAAACTCATTGTGAGTAGTTAAACTAGTTGGTAACACACATTCCAAAACCAAAAAATACAAAAAAAAATATTATATGTATTCTGTAATTTTGTTTTTTAAAAAATGATACCAAGGAGACTTCGTGTGCAGACTTCAACCGTAGACTGCTGGAGAAGTCTACTTTGATAAGCTAATTAGCTTAAAAATAAAAAAATCTGATTCCGCAAAAAATATCGACTTAAATGAAATGAAAACCATTGAATAATTCAATCACTTGCTAACAAACATTTCAAAACCAAAAAATGAAAAAATACTTTATAAATGTGCAAAAAACGTTTTTAAAATAAATACAATAAGTAGACTTCTAATACAGACTTCAAACGTATACTGAAGGAGAAGTCTACTTTTTTCATAGTGAAGTCTATTAAAGAAATCTACTTAAAAACATGTTATTTTTGCAATTGACTAATTCATTGACTTTTCCTTCAGTAGACTTCAGAAGTAGACTTCCGGTCAAAAAGGTTACTTTAGCATTTGACCGAGCCATTGACTAACAAAGTAATTTTCTATTGTAGACTTCATGCAAGAGTAGACTTCTCTGACAGTCGACTTTTGAAGTCTACTTTTTCAATAGAAGTCTACGGAAAAAATATGTTATTTTTGCAATTGAATTTTTTGAGTAGACTTCACAATTGAATTTTTTGAGTAGACTTCACTGTGAAGTCTACTAAAAAAAAGTTTCCTTCTAAGTTTGACCAAAAAATATAAGTACAGGTTTTAGATTTCTTTGGGAAGTCTACTGAAGTTTTTCGGAATTTTTTTATTTTTATTTTTATTTTAAAACTGTAGTCAAACACTAAAATGACCTATACGTTTTTGGTCAAACTACAAAAGTAACTTTAATGTAGACTTCTTATGTAGACGTAAACAGTAGACTTCATACGGAAGTCTATATTAAAAAGTCAAAATATGGTCAACTACAAAAATAACCTATTTTCTTTCGTAGACTTCTTAAGCCTTCAAGCGAAGTCTACTAAGTTTTTCTTTTGTTTTCAAAGGATATCGAGTAGACTTCTCGTAAAATTTAATGAAGTCTACTTTTAAAAAGTCAATTGCAAAAATAACCTTATGTTGCTAGTAGACTTCAAATATAGATATTACCAAAATTGAAGTGTATCATTACCTATATCAGTTTTGAGTTTGTTTTTAGGTCTCTCATGCACACAAAACTCTGAATTTGACCCCAAAAAAACAACACAGGTCTTGATTAAGCTGAAATCACCAAAAATGCATAACTTTTGACATTGTAACTTAGCCCAGAAGTTTTAGAGAAGAAATTAGGAAATAATATGGAAGGTTATGAGTGTATGAGCTTTCATATTAACTTATTACAACTTTAAAATTGGTTGAGAATCATTTATTCTATTTTTGGGGTTGTTCATGGTGGTTGAAGGTATTGAAGAAGATGACATTATTGTAATAAAAAATGTTTTAGGAGGTCTAAGGAGACTTTAGCCAATATTTAAAAAAATCAAAATAATGGGTTTATAATGATATTTTTGTTAATATTTCGAGTGAGAAAGATAGAATTGTGACAAAATGGCAAAAGTTGGAAAAAGAAAAAAAAAAGGTTATTTTGGTGTTTAATTTTAATTTTAAAGTTAAATCTGAAACTCTCACTACTTTATTTTTGATATGGTTAAATCTCCTGAGATTATCTTCATTGAAATCCAAAAACATCTATTTACGTATCAGACTAAATTAACATGGCTGTCACATTCATTATATTATTCCATTTGGAGCCATCTAGATGGTACAAGGCTCTTTTTCTTGCTACAGAGTCATTGAAGTTACCGTTCCAAACAATCAATTATTTATGAGTCAACACTTCTTCCGGTTATGAGTATTTTAAATCGTCTTTGGAGAATGATTGTGGTTTGCGACGCAAAATACATCGATCAGAGCAAGTGGATAACCATCAGTAATTAAATTAAAGAAGAACTGTTGTCATCACCCGCTTCTAAATGGCCATTTGAACGACACAACTGAACCAGAAGTTTATTTTCGTAAACCTGTTAAAAAATTTACGAAAAGACGATTAAAAACTTAATCTAGAATGAATCGGAAAAAACTAAACAAAGCAAATAAAGAAAAATAATTATAAGAAAATAGCAAAAGAAACCAACTAGGCAACTAGACTGAACGGACAACAGAGTTATAAAAACCTCTGGTCATCCGGCAGAAACCACACAAAAAAATCCCTATATTTTTTTCTTAATTTATGCTTTCCCTTTTTAACTTTTTTTGCTTAAATAAGCTTTAGTCGACGTATTAATATGCAGATTTAAAGTTCAGAGGTATTAATTATTAAAAGCAATAAACTTAATTAATACACTCAGATTCTAGTGATTTCATTCAATTAAAAAGCCAAGGGCATCTGACTAAGATGTACCCATTAGCCATGATAGCTATGATCTTTGGAGAGCTGTTTTTTATGGAATTCCTGCAGGATGCAAAGAGAAATTATTTCTATGTCATGAAGAGTTATAAAATACTCTTACCAAGCATCTTCAGAAACTCTACTCACTCTAGGACATCACAAGTTCACAACTCCTCTAATAAGAGCTTCTGTGAATAATCAAGCTTCATAAATTTTTACCTGTTTTACATTCATGGAACATATGATGATCCTCTGAACTTTTTCAGCAACAACTTATCTTAATTTCTGAGGTTGGAAATAATGAAAAACTATGACATTCTACACTTTGGTCCTCAAAAACTATGGCCAAAGTGTTTCTAAAGTTCTTATAAGAACTGTAACTCTCTCATACTTTTCCTACTATTTATCTCTTAACAACTAATAATTTTTTTTTAGCAAAAAAAAAACAACAAATAACGTTTTATTTTCCCTTTGAAATTATACAAATACAGTAACGTAAATTGATTTGGACTATAACAAATAATATTTAGTTCCATTAAGTCATATGAAAACATATTCTCAAATTTTAAATATGATCAATCTTTAGTATATATATTTTTGGACAAAAGCCGAGTGTATTTACTATTTTTTTAATTATTTTACTTAACTTGGGTTTTTTTATTTAATATACATTTTTATTAACTATGAGTGACAACAATAAGAACATTATAAATAGACTTTTGTGCATACCTTTTTTGTTTTGCTTAGGTGAAGAGGTGAAGAAGGATAAGAGCAAGTTTTTGAATATTAATGGCTTCCTTCAACAACTTTGTGTTACTGATTCTCTTAACAATTGCTCTTATTTTAGTCCCTGAAGCAGCTCAGGGACGTCGAAGACGAGTAATACCATCAGGAGAACAGAAGAAAGAACTGGAAAGGCAACTCAAAGCTATCAACGAACCTGCAATCAAGAGTTTCAAGGTTGGCCTAATAGCCTGCATTTCTCTTAGATGCTTACATTATGAATCATATCTATCATTTTTGCTTTTCAACAGACACAACAGGGTGATATATTGGATTGTATCGACATTCACAAACAGCTAGCCTTTGATCATCATCTCCTCAAAAACCAATCTGTTCAGGTTTTCTACTTTCTACAGAGTTTTTTCTTCCTCTTCTGTTTTTTTTTTTTTTTTTTTTTTTGTATCAAAGATGAAGCTCTTTAGAGAATGACTGACTTTGTTACGTATTGCCGTATATGCAGCTGAAACCAACAAGTGTACCTGAGTGGATCACGAGCAACAAAATTTCAAGGAAAGTGGATCCCTTGCAGCTTCTTCAAGAGGGAATAAATTGTCCAGAAGGAACAGTTATTGTAAAAAGGACTACTATGCAAGATCTTATGCATGCAAAACGTTTGAAATCGATGGGATTCGATGGCCCAAGACATTTTATTACAGATAGAAATAACAATGATTCAACTGGACAGTTTTATGTAAGAGCCCTTGGTCTGAGAGTACGTACCAACCACCATTTCTCTACTTTATTTTTCTTAGTTTCTTTGTTCTATCTTCTATGGATATTAGGTTGCAACGGTTAACTATGGACCTAGCAGTTTTTCTGGAGTAAAAGGACATCTTAACCTATGGGATCCACAAGTCTCGCAAGATCAAATCAGTCTTGCATTTATGGCAGTAGCCGGAGGGCCTAAAGAACAATTCGCCAGCATTTTTGTTGGGTGGATGGTAAGTCCGTTTCTTGTTCCTTTAATACTAGCAAGTCACATGATTTCGAAGTTAAGAAAAATTTGCATTTTATATGAAACAGGTGAATCCATCCCTATACCAATTGTCGGAAGATCATGTTCGCTTGTACACCTACTGGAGTGTAAGTTTTGAGTTACCTGTAAAAGCATTGCGCTAATGTTTTTAAACTTTGGTCTTAAATGCTATATATGTGTATGCCTTGTTGTTTATTGCGCAACAGATTGAAGGAAGCATGTCAGGCTGCTACGACATAACATGTCCTGGATTTGTGCAAGTCAGCAAGACTATACCACTTGGTGCACTTCTTCAACCAATTTCCGTCTATAATGGTACACAATATGATATAAGCTTAAGCTTGTATCAGGTAAACTCCAGATACTCTTATCTTTACTCATGTTTGTTTACTTCTCATCAAGTCATTTGAATATTCATCTTCTTAAAATCGAGACTAGGATCGTGTCAAGGGAGATTGGTGGTTTTCGTATCATGAAGAGAACGTTGGATACTGGCCAGCGTCATTGTTCATGGCCAGGGGATTTGCTAACAGAGCAAATTATGCATCTTGGGGAGGTCAAGTGTACAGTCCAGTGACAGAGAAGACTCCAGTTATGGGAAGTGGGAATTGGCCTAGTGAGGGCTTAAGTAAAGTAGCTTATGTGAACAGTATCAAAATCATAGATCATTTGGGAAATGTTTTGGATCCAGAAATCGACAGTCTGAAGGCACGCGAGACCAGTTCAAAGTGTTACAAAGCCATGTATATTCATGAGGAGGATAAAGATATATGGCGAAGAGCTCTTTACTATGGAGGTCCTGCAGGATGCATAGGGGAATGATGTATGATCTGAACAAGATGACTTATATATATGCTTGTATGAATAATCAAGTTTCATGATAATTATGATTCTTTTACCCGTTTTACATACATTGAGAGCATATGATCTTCATAACCTTCGGCAATAACATAATGTTTCTGACTTCTGAGGCTGCAAATAATGAAACTATAGCCAAAGTGTAAAATGTCACAGTCAAACTGTTATAATAATCAAACTAATATCATCCTTTCTATTTTCTAATACCGACAAAATGATTAGGTAACCAGGAATATTGTGGACTCTACTGTTAAAGCTTCTGATAGAATATTTATGGGGTGAATAACTCTTGTAACATTGGATAGTGCATTTTTTAATTAAATGGACTCAAATCTTTCAAAATTACTCGACAAACCTAGCGTATTGATATTATAATTTTAGCATTTGTTACTGAAAACGTAATTACAAACTATCATTTGTAGGCAAAATTTGCTTTTACTAGGCTTGTCCCCACGCATAAATACAGGTTTTGTTTGAGATATATATATATATATATATACGTAGTTAATTATAAGAATATGATAATTTGCTTAATTGTTTGGTATTAGTTTTTTTAAAAACAAAATTTTTATAAAACAAATATTTTTTTTTTAAAATTAGAAGTAGGGTAAGTAGGAAAATTATTCTATTATTCTAGAAATCATAAACATGATATGAGAAAAAAAGACATAGATAAAAACCACATTTTTGAGGGTTGAATTGCTTAGAAACATATAATTACCTCTGATTTTTAATGTTATCATATTTATGATATGCACAATTACCATGATTCTGCAAGAATCACCTCATATTTCATGTTTCACAATGAAATGCACCTATAATAATATCATATTTGACCCATAAAAACTACAAAATCTTTGAATGAAGAGAACACTACATTTTTACATTGTTTCATAGAACAAGTTTCAAGAAATTGTTTATAATGAGGATAAGCCGGAAAGAAAAATATCAAGTTAGTACAAAAAATATTAAAAAGTTTTAGATGAATACCAAAAGGTTAAAAATGTTGTTTATTTATTTTTATTAGAAATATGAAAAGCCTTAATTTTAATGTAACTTAATAGTTATGAACATAAATACATATGGATAAATATTAAAAAGAAAAGTTATGTTATGTTATAATTAGTGGTATTAATTAGTTTTTAATTGTTTTTTATTTTAAAATTTATGATTTAATAATTATGTAAAATAACAGGTGTCAATTTCTCAATTGCTGATATGACAAGCCATAGAGAGAGGTCACCTACTTTCATATATATGACTAGATTTTGCATCCACGCTACGCGTGGGTAGTTTGTTGATAAAATTTATATGCAATTAATTATATTTATTAAGATATAAATTTTATATATTAGTATTTTAACAATATATTAAAAATATTATGAAGTTAATATAACAATTTTTATGTAAATTGTGAAGTTTTAACGGTTTTGTTTTAAATCTATATACAATATGTTATATTTCAAAAACGTATTATTTTATCAAACACTTTTAAGTTAATATACCCAAACTAATTTTTTTTTTACAAATTAATCAAATGCTACTTTTTAAACATATTATTGATATGGTGATAAAATATTATACATTCACTTCCATAAATCAAGATAATTTTTTAAATTATTTTTCACTTTTATTCCAATTATAGATGTGTTTTTGAAAACAATTAAAAACAATTAAATTTAAAATTTAAGAAATTTTTTATTTTAAATATTGATGATGATAAATAAATTAATCTTTTAAATTATATGTGGGCATTTTAGCGGCATGTAGCTTTAACTTTTATTAGTAATAGATTTATAAATCAAAGCTGGAAGATCCCACACAAAGCCATTGCGGCAAATGATTTTGATCTCTCTTCCTTGTTTTTAGGCTTATCAAATGTATTCTAATACTGCTTAGTCAGCTAATTGTTATCTTTGTGATTCAGGTTGGATTGTTAAAACCCCATCAGATGTCATGTTATTTCAAAAATCTTCTTAGAGTACCTCAGTCTCTTTCGTCTTAATGAATGAACATTTTCTCTATTTTCAGTGCTTTGTTTTTCAAAAGTGTCGCATATCAATCACTTGACATATTTTTCGGATTATTTGAAATTTATCATTTTTTTCAAATTCGGTGGCCAAGATTTGGAGATTTTACAGTCTCTTTTTAATGACTCATTCTTAAATAAAATCTGACTCTATTTTTTTTATTTAAAATGGTTGAACACATAGAAAAAACTTAAAAATTATTATAGTTATGTGACAAAAATTTGGATGCTACTGTAAGAGTTTCTAAATATGTGTATATACATCTAATTTAAATTTAAAATTTCTTATGTTAATATTATTTATTTAGTTTTTAATATTTATTTATTTTTAATAATTTTTAAAACAATAATTAAATTAGATTCTTTTTTTAATTTTCAATGTTGAGGTGGGCCAATAAAAAAAATTATACAGAATTTTTATTCAGCAATAATATTAGAATTTGTGAACTTTCTTAATTTTCTTATTCAACAATAATATTAAAAATTGGAAATTTTCTTTCATTTTGAATGCTGATGTGGACCAATAAAATTAGCTTTTTAAATCCTATGTGGATACTTTTAGAAGCATATAGCTTCAACTTTATTTTATTAGTATAATATTTACAGAAAATGTAACATACAAAAATCTACTGTCTTTTATGGCAAATGTGTTTGTTGTTATTCTGATCGTAGATTTGTTTGATTGACGATAAATTTGTTGTGATTTGATAAACTTATTATGGTAAACATATTTTTGAGACTTGCTAAAAAAGTTTGCGAGCGGTAGATACATTGGATTGGTAACATGTGATTTTGCAGTTGAGTTACGGTCGATGTTGTAATTTGATGTAATTTGCAGTAAAAATTATGTAGTATAAACAGTAGATTTATGCAGTGAGTTTGCTGTAAAAATATGAGTTACTTTTTGTTAAAACAAGTTACAGGTAACATTTCTGTGGTATAAATTGTTGTACATGTTATTTAAATAAATTCAAAATTTTATTATATATTAATAATGATTATATTTATTAAAAATATTATTGATAAAATAGATTAAAAATTAATACCAACTTCAAATGTATTATATTAAAAAAATTTGTTAGAAATATTTAAAAAAAACCTAACTACTACATTCTAAAACATATTTACACAAGAAGTCCATATACACAAAAAATCTTGTCAACATTGACTATTTGAAAAAATACATGAAGATTTGGTATTTTTTTATGTTGTGTTGTACTAGTGTATTGTTATGTCATTTAAAATGGAAAAAAATGTTTAATATTGTGTTATGTTTTATTAAGAATTTTTTGTAATTATTTTTTTCAGCAAAAAAATACAATGCAGAAAGATATGAACGTGGGATACATCGAAAAAAATTCTAACTCAACCTCTAATACATGAGAAATCCATTGATGTTGAGTTAACTTTTGAGTTATCAATTTAACAAATGTAATTCAAAATTATAACTCAACCATAACACATTCTAACTCAAATACAAACTCAAAAAAATCCAAACTAATTTATGATTGGTAACATTTTTGATGTATCTATGCATTAAACTCATAACTCAAACTTATGCAAAGATAACTCAATCACCAATCAATTTATGATTACTTTTTTGGGAGGATTGCTTAAAGGACCTTAAAAAATTTGGTAATTTGGAGAATAATCTTACAATCTCGAAATTAGCAAAACAACCTTCTTTTTTGAAAAACCCCAATTTTACCCTCAATAAGCTTTGGTGACAAAAAAACATTTACGAGAATGCCATTATTATTAAATTTCCACGTCAGCAGTAAAAATAGCACGCTAATAAATAAGTCTACCATCGTTAATGGTAGAGATATTTTTGTTGATAGACTTAAATGTTTGAGGGTAGATATATTATCCGTTGATAGATTTGTGTAAATGTTGATAGATTTGTAAAACGTTGGTAGTTTTTTGTTGGTAAACTTATATTCAACGTGAAGGTAGACTTGATTTTGTTGGTAGATATAATATTTTTGTTGATAGATTTTTTGTCACGTAAAGTATATTTATTTCGATTTGGTAGATATAATGATGGAGAGTTGACTTTGAATGGGATTGGTTGACGAAATTGGTAGAGTTATTGACCTTTTGAAGTAGATTTGTTTTACTAACAATAGACTTATTTATGCAAAATTTAAATCTACTACAAGAAATTTATTTTCTTAGTGATAGATTTATTTGTGATCATGGTAGATTTAAAAACCTAGAGTAAATTTGTTATCGCTTAGTAGATTTGGTTTCTTAGTGGTAGACTTAAAATTTCATTTTCGAACATGTGATGTATGATAGATCTATTAGACAATGTAATAGAGATATTTGGTGGTGGTAGACTTATTTTTTTTAAAATAGGTTTATTTGGTTATACAATAGATTTGTTTTTCATTTTGGAGCATGATGTTGACAGAGTTGTTTGAAAATTGGTAGACTTTTTGAGAATTAGTAAACATATAAAATTTTGGTAAACTTATTTCCTTTCACTTGAAGGTAGACTTATTGATATGAAATGACGCTTTTGTCCAGTAGTTATTACCGAATTTTGTTGTTCCAACCACCGCATCAACTACATCTAGGATAGACGCCCCTTTACTTTTGGTCGATGATTTCCTTGGTTTACTTCCTCTGTTGATGTTGTCTCTCTTTCTTCTACCATGGTTTCTTCATTCATGGTGGATATTTTTTTTAGTTTGTAGAAAATGAAAATTCGCAAAAATTTGGTATCTGTTCTTGGTTGATAAGATGAAAAGATGTCGAGTAGTAGTAGTAGTTGTTGATTGGAACAATGATTTTTGACAAATCGTTTATGAAGATTTGGGATTGAATCAGCACCGTTATGATATTCAATTCAGTTATGATTTGCTATAAAATGGCCTGGTTGATTGTCTTACTTATTAGATTTCCATGTTTAATTCATGTTTGGTAGACTTGTGTTGTTATTTAATAGACTTATGTTATTAATTGTTTAAACTCTACTATACGTGCAATTCTAAGTGAAACAAACTACCATTCATATGTCACACTTCTTACTTTAAAACAACTCTACCGTTTGTTAAATAAGCCTACCACTGATTTTAACCTGCATCAACAATTGCAAGAAGAGTTCGTCCATGCGACCACTCTACGGAAACAAAGAACTAAGAACCAGCAACAACACAACAACGTAAAAATGGTCCTATGAACGGCAGTTTATAAATCCTTCGACGAAATTACCGAGGAACGACTGATTGCTGCAACACAAAAAGAAAAGTAGGGTTAGACATCTTCTCTTTACTCTTCTTGGGTGGTGTCGTCGCCGACACAACCCACGACGGTGAAGAAACGTGAATTAAAAAAAAAACAGAATGAAGATTTCTAGAAAACAAAACGACGATTCAGATGGAACTTACCGAAGATGCAGAACACACCAATAAGAAGCACAGAAGAAGCAGAAAACAATGAACTGCCGGAGAACTCGTAGAATCTGGATAAGCTTCGTCGTCGACCTCAGAAGAGATGAAATCGCTGTCGCTTTTAGGGTTTTGTATTTTGCAAAATAAAATAATTTTTTTACATTCAGAATTCGAAAATGTATAAAAATTTATTACGATTTTTTGATATATATATATATGTATATTTGTGATTTACAAAAATATAATAAAAAATAAAGAAAAATTTGAAAAAACTGTTTTTAAGTGTGAGGGGTTACACTGTTTTTTTTCATGCTGGTAAGGTTAGTACAGCAAGAATGTAAGGATAAGGCATCAGTTTAGCAAGCAGACCTGTTTGTAAGATCATTCTAGTCAATATTCTCTTACTTTTTTGGTATATTGATTTGTTTTGATAGCAAATTTGTTATCGGTAAATGGATTTAACGACTAGACGGTTGATTTTTTGGTAAATTTATTTCAACAACTAGTGGTAGATTAATCTTACACACGATAGATTTATTTTTATGGTAGCACAGTTATCAACTATCAATGATTGAATGGCTCCTTCTGTCGTAAGGGTAGATTTATTCCAATAATGGTGGATTAGTATTGTTGTGGTAGGTTTATTCTTAATGACGGTATATATAAGACCAGTCGGAAAAAATCATGGTCACTTTGTTTTGTAATCGTACTAGATTCATTATTAGACACAACAGATTTATAAGAATTGTTCTTAATGTTATGTAGATATTTCGTGATCTCATTCGGTAAAAAAATAGTGTGAGAAAGACCTGTTAAACCATTGGAAAAAGCTAAGGAGATGTAATGGCAGGTCGTAACAAGAGGACATGGAAACCAAACCGTGGTGGTGACAAAAACAAGTGACTGTGATTAGGACATCTCCAACCATACTCCATTTTCACCTCCAAAATAGGGGAATACCATTTTTTACTTCAAATATAGAATAATCCCATTTTCAACTCCATTTTGCAGTTGAACTTTTTAATTTACAAATTAGTCCTTTATTTTTTATAAATTCTTAAAACTATATTTTTTATTTATAATTTAGTCTTTCATATTGTATATACTTAATTCAAAATAAAGGATAGATAAATTTAAAATTAAAGATAGAAAATAAAAAATATAATAGTATTAAGTGAATTAGAAATAATATTAAATAATGATATTTAAATTAAAATTTATTTTATTTTGTTATTTCAATATTATGTAATATTATTTTAATATTATAATGGTTGAATTTTAAACTAATATTATAATTTATGAAAGTTTTCAAAGGAAATAAAAAATGAATGAGTTCATTTGTAACTTTTTTTTTGTCAACAGCCTAGATACCTAAAACGGTCTGACAGACCAAACCGGTAGTACCGAGTTTATATAAATAATATCACAAGGATAGATCCGAGCACTTTTTGCTAGCTTATCTGCCTTCATATTCTTTGCGCGTGGAATGTGTGATAGTGAAAAGAAGCTAAACCTCTCCTTGATCTTTACAAATTCCTCCAAGTGTATAGCAAAAGCTGGCTATTCGACGGGTGTAAACACAATCTTCACCAAATCCAAACAGTCTGTTGCAAAAGCAACCTCTATCTTCTGATTCTCTATCGTGCAAAGCATGGCCTAAATTAGAGCTTCCATCTCTGCATGCAGAGGTGAGAGACTCCGTCTAGCATTTCTTTCTCCCATTATTTTATCCATAACCCTGTCTTGAAAATCGTACCATCCCAATCCCGATGATAAATTTGTCGATTTCTAAGAGGCATCAACATAACACCACCAGCCCTCATATGTACTGGGTATTGACACCAGAATATTCATATTGTCTTGTGTCTCTAGATCTTGGTCAGTCCCTTGAGCTTCCGTCCATAATATAGCCTCAGTTTCTGCTATTGAATTCATTTGTAACTTTTATAACTAAAATGTATTATTAGTTTATTAATTATAAAATAAAAAATAAAAAATATATTTTAAATTTTTTTTCTAGAGTTGAAAATAAAGAAATACATTGGATAGAAATTAAACTCTATTTTGGAGTTACTCCATTCTAGAGACAAAAATGGAAAAATACATTGGAGATGCTCTTAGTAATATTTTCGCCACTTGATATTAAACTGCAGAAAATAGTACTGGAATAAAATCTAGCTTAAGCTTTCATTCTCCAATCTTTACAAATATTTCTGTAATCTCTTAAAAAAATTGTATGGTCTTAAATCATGCTTTGTAATCTGCTGCAATCAATTAAAATTACTGTTTCTAAAAGAATAAAAAAAATAACAAACCAAAACAATTTCTTTCAAAACAAAACAATTCCTTGGCAAACCAAAACAATAATCCGAAAATCGTTGGTGGTTATTATCTGTACCAATCAAACCCAAGAATTTCGTTATAAATTAAAAAAGCATATTCCTTTTTTCCAATTTCGTTGTCTTTTTCTTCTTTTCTTTGTCTTCTTCGCATCTGTTTCTATCAATCGCAGATAATCCTCAGCCTCTCTGGATTTCATTTCTCGACTTCCTCTCATCATCGCTTCCTTTCGAATCAAACTAAAACACTTTCCACTTCACTCTTTAATCGGACTTACCGAGCAATTTCCTCCATGGATCTATGGACCCTTCAGGTGAAGGACACTGCGATCCGAAACCCTATCTTGTCATCGATCCCTGAGAAATCGCTTTCTAGGAAACTCGGTGCCGTGGAGATTAGGTTTCTCAAGCGTAAAAGTTCTGTATCTGGGTATCGTTCTTTGGTTGTTCGAGCTACTTCGAAGAAGAGTAACGACGATTCTTCTGCTTCTGGTAAGAGATTGCATTTTGTTCGATCCTTTAGTTTTGATAGATTAATTTGATGACTTGCATGCGGTGAAAATTGGGGAATTTAGTATTTCTAGAGAAATCGATGTCTTGACTGGATCTTTGAGGACAAAGAGTTAGGCTTTGTTCTTGACACTAGTGAGCTCTGTGCTTTACTAAATTTATGTCCTTTGATCACATCTGAGCTATTTTAATGAGATTCTTGTAGGCTTTATATATATTGTTTTAAGTGGTGAGTAGCATTTCTTGGTTATGTTTGCGAGGATCGTTGATGCTTCAAGAAGTAATCTTAATTTCATAATGGTGAAATAGGATTTGAGAGTCTACTCTTTCCTCTATCTTGTCTGATTCTTACAACTGTAAAGCCGTTTTTTTTCTTGAAGGTGGAGATGCTTCTCAAGAAAACAAGCCTTCTAGTGGCAACAAGTCAGGTGATTCCGCGACTCCAAAGTCGTTTGGTCTAAATATGGACTGGAGAGAGTTCAGAGCAAACTTGTTTATGAAGGAGCAGGTTAATCCAAGTTTTTGATATCTAGATGAAGTTTTTGCGTTGTTACCACATGAGCACATTCTTGGGAAAGTTATGTATAAAAGTCAATAGGGTTTACGCTTTATAAACGATGTCACAGGAAGAAAAGGCAGAAGCTGAAGGTCACAAACCAGCCACAACACATCATGAATCTGAACCAAGAGGCATGAAATGGGCACACCCGATTCCCTTTCCTGAGACTGGCTGCGTTCTAGTCGCCACGGAGAAGCTAGACGGTTATAGAACATTTGCTAGAACCGTAGTGCTTCTTCTTAGAGCAGGAACCAAACACCCACAAGAAGGGCCATTTGGAGTTGTCATCAACCGTCCACTTCACAAAAACATCAAGCACATGAAACCAACTAAAACCGAGCTCGCTACCACGTTTTCAGAATGTCCCTTGTACTATGGTGGGCCTCTTGAAGCAAGCATGTTCCTGCTGAAGACTGGCGATAAAACCAAGATACCCGGTTTTGAAGAAGTCATGCCTGGCCTTAACTTTGGTGCTCGAAACACATTGGATGAAGCTGCAGTACTTGTAAAGAAGGGAATTATTAAGCCACATGACTTCAGATTCTTTGTTGGTTACGCTGGTTGGCAGCTAGATCAGCTCAGAGAAGAGATCGAATCTGATTACTGGCATGTTGCTGCGTGCAGCTCGGATTTGATATGTGGAGATTCATCAGAAAACTTATGGGAGGAGATTTTGCAGTTAATGGGCGGCCAATACTCGGAGCTTAGCCGGAAACCCAAGCTGGATATGTAGTTATCTAAGGCTTTTATAACTTATATATATTTTCTCTATTAAGCCAAATGTATAGCTTACTTCGATGGCTTGTATTTGAGAATAATGCACTTCTATAGTTTTATGCTGTTTTTAATAAGATTTGCTATCTGGAAACTCAGTATTCTTAAGTTAATGACTAAAAAAACTTCTATCTATAAATTGACTTCCACTTACTAAACCAGTTGTTCTAATTATACACATCTGTTTGCTTCCCCTAACCAAAGGAAATGTCTGAGAAAGAGAGAGCAGAGCATGAAACAGAGGTTGCCCATGTGCAAAGACCACATAAACAGAGTTATGAGATCGTCTAGTTCATGTTCTCAGTTTTTTTCTTGTTTCATGCTTCACTAAGCACATGCCTTGACTGAGATATCTTTGTTCTTCTTTGTTGCAGATTTCTCAAGGCGGGACTTGCGTACAGCTTCTTGGATTCTTCTCTCATGTTCTTTCATCATGTCTTCAATGTTACCACCGGGAGGCATCAACGGACCTGAATAGTGCATTCTGTTCTTCTTGCGCATGTATGTCTGAAACAACATATCAAGAAACATCTCAGGATTCAATAGTTAAAAAAGAGGGAAAGAGTTAATGAGTTGAATCAACAATTAAGTTACCGTTGTGGGTTGTCTTGAAGCTACGTTTTCCTTTTGTGAGGAGCTAGATAAGTAATCTCCCATTGTACCAGGCACGTTGTTTGACCGGCTAGCCTTCACCTCTCCTACATTGCTAGAGCTTTCATTCTTATTCCATGTTGGGGTATGGATCGCTGAATTGTTATCAGAAAAGGGCTTGCCTCTGTCTTTCTTGAACCCAACCGGAGTGTTGATTGAGACATTTGAATGCCCTGAAGCAAGGAACTCCGGTGTTACCTTGGAGTCTCTTGAACCTCTTCTCACAGATTCGTGTCCACGCCACTTGACAGCTTCAGATTTTTTCCTGAAATTTCAAAAAGAAAAAGCTTGTTTAGGATCTCTCCTGCGTCATTCGTGGCAAAATAGGCGCTCTCCTTGCATATAACTCACCTTCTTGCTTCTTCGTTCCGGTTCTTGGCATCAAGTTCCTTGCTTGGCGGATACTTAGGCAAACTTGATATGTGACAAGGGAGTGGCTCCGTTGTAAAAAACTAGAGAAATGAATGAAGATTGATCAGTATAATCTTCACGTGGCTGATCAAGAAAGTCAATAAAAGAAAAAGAGTGCTCATTACCTCACTCATTAGAGTCGAAGAAGCTGAGCATCTTCTCTCTGGTTCTACTGATAGAAGCTGGTCAAGGAGAGCTAAAGAAGAAGATGGTAAGTTCTTGAACGTCTCTAGGAGGACACGTTTATAAGTATGTTGCGGTCTGTAACTTGTAGCTTGTGGAAACTTTGTCGTTTCCCAGAAATCATCGGATGGTGAACCGCATAGCTTGAAGATCTTATGCATTTGCTCCACCTTGAAGATATAAAAATCAGTTGAAATCAATAGAACTATAGGAGATCAAGCAGTATGGAGTGAAAGATTATAATCTGAATCTAAAACTCACCTCTGTTCTTCCCGGCATGATTGGTTTACCTACAAAGAGTTCTGCTAGAATGCAACCAACGCTCCAGAGATCAATGGCCGGTCCATACTCTGTGGATCCCAGTAGAAGCTCAGGTGCTCTGTACCACAAGGTGACTACACGACTAGTCAGCGGCTGATCATGATTTGGATGGTAAAAACTCGCCAGACCGAAATCTCCAATCTTGAGAACTCCATCATTGTTTACCAAAAGATTCGAACCTTTGATGTCACGGTGCAAGATTCCACGGCTATGACAGTGCTCAAGTCCACAAAGTAATTGTTTCATAAAACACTTGATCTAAACACAGAAGCAACACAAACACAAGTATAGTGAGTTTGATTAGCCTGAGAAGACAACAAGGCGATTCGATGAAGGTAGAAACTTTTGAAAAGTACCTCTGGCTCCGTAAATTTGACACCAGGCCTAAGAGCGAGACCTGAAAGATCATGCTCCATGTACTCAAACACAAGGTACAAGCTACCTGATAGCTTTGAAGTGACAAGACACTGGAGCTTCATAACATTTGGATGGTCGAGTTTCCGCAAAATGTTGATTTCTCTAGCCATGAACCTCACACTTTCTGGATCCATATTAGCAAACCTCACCTTCTTCATCGCCACTATTTGGCCCGTCTCAAGATCCCGAGCCTTATACACAATGCTGTAAGTCCCTTGTCCAATCTGCAAACACAATGTTCACATCATTACAATTCACTATAAAACCAATCCAGTGTATGATTTCAGACAAAATGAAAACGTTTTGAAAGAGACTAACTTTGTCAAGCTTCTCAAAGGAATCTGCACGACGAGGAACCCAACCTTTAATGGCTTCACCAGCAACAGAGGTTAACCAGTACGGCCATCCAGCTGCAATAAGCTCTGCTTCTGCGCTACGAGGAACATTCGAAATAATCAATCCTCCTCCTTTGCCATTGTCTGAGACTCTTCTTCCTCGATGAGACCTTGAAGGTCTCTCTACAATCACTGTTTTACCATCATGGCTATCATCTATAGGAACAATCAAACCGCTCGCTCTTCTTCCACCACCAGAGCTTCCATCAACGGCTTTATGCGAGAAATCGTCTTTATTTGAAGGCAGAGGAGCAATCAATTGGACTGAGGAAGATTTGTTCCAATACTCGTTTCCTTTCTGACGATGAAAAGCAACGTCGTTTTCTTCTTCTGCTGCTCCTTTTGAGCAAATGCATCCCATAATGATAAATCTTCCTTTGGTTCACTCAATAATGATTTAACACAACATGACATTTACAAAGAACCAATCTTTATATATCCTGATTGATCCCTAAGCATCAAACCCAGGAATCTTCAGGTTCTATCACCCGGAGAGATTCAGGGAGATGAATAAAACCCAAATGTATGAGTATAGAGATAAAGCTAAGTTTTTGCAGCCAGAAACCAAAAGGGTTTCTTCTAAACCCCAGAAAGATTGTGAATTTCCTGAAGAAGTTAAACAATTAAACGCAGACGATCCAAAAAAGTTAGGATTTTTTTCTTTTCTTGCTGAAAGATAGAGAGAGAATCGTCGTTGCATACGAAAACGGAAAATCCGGGGAAAATAAGGAAAAAGAAGATTGTGAATAGAGAGATGGAAAGTAGAATGAGGCGAGATATGGTTCGTATTAGAGAAAAATCAGGAGGGCCCTTGATTCTTGGGAGAAGACAACTCACAAGAATAGTTCTCTCTCTTTCTCTTTCTTTAGAAATAGTCCCAAAAAACCGTTTGCATGAAGTTGGGATGTTTATCACATTGTAGTATTTGTTCTTGAGCTTGCAGAATCTTTATAAGCTTTTCGTTAAGAACAAATATCCGATTCTTCTTACAATATTTTGAAAATGTCTTAGAAGGGTAATGCAAAACTCAAATGGAAACTATTATATTAAAAATGATATTACCAATAATTAAACCGCGTAAAATTCAAAATCGAGATTCTAATGAAACACAACTTATTTAGGAAACCGGATTTTGTTTCCACTTAAAATCAAAATCAATCGGTGAAGTCCTCGACCTTTATTTCAAATCAGTTGGCATAACGCATAATGCACTTGTTAAAAACTTTACTTAGTTTCCAAAACCATTTGTTTATTACGATATAAGTATGATTGAATTTTAAGATAATATCAAATATTCAGTCGAGCAAAAAATTAGAAAACCCTCACCTCGTAGCCGAAAAAGACCGTAAGCCTTGGCTGAATCACATAGCGTTGCATGTACGTACTTAAAGAATTAGATTAGACTCTGAAAAAAAAAAGAATTAGATTAGACAAACAGCGTAGCCTCATTTGCTTAGCTTAACTTTTGGTCTCTAGGACTGGCTCTATGGAACGATTCTATAATGCATGCATAACTTGAAGGGTAAGATTATATGTTATTGGGTTTTTGTTGGTACTCGGTAGACGATAGGTTCCCTTTAGCATCTTGTCATGTCTATGATAAAAGATCAAGGCCAGATAAGTCATTACCAACTCTTCGGAGTACTGAGTTACTTCTATGAGGATGGGATTCTACATCTAATTTTCCTAAGATTTTTTCCTCCAATGGTTGCACCCATACAAAGACTTTTCAAATAAGGAGGAGCATTCTCTTATATCTGTATTTTCCAAAAGACAAACAAACCGACGAATAAGACAACGCCTAAAACGACGGAAAGAACAGCTGAAAATCATTTGTCCTTAATTGCTGGAACGTTTCTCCGCTAAGAACTCCAATGAAGTGTGGAAAAAAAAAGGCTCATTTGCGTGAAAGACTACACACTTTAACGTTTTTTTGGTCGAGCTAATATTTCTCTTAACAAAACAAATGGCATTACTAGAGTCGCGGAAAAGGATTCCATCACGTCCTAATGTCCGGATGAACACTCCTAAGAGCTTACACAAAAACAGGCTCCAAGAAACAACTCCCAAGATCATCTGGATGTGCCAACATGTGTTTGCACGAAGAGATCCTGGAACGACATGTTAAATATGTCAAGAAGCCTGGCCTGAGTAGAAGCATGTGCTTTGGACTGGTAAAGTTAAAATAAATTTAGGGGCTAATTTCTCAAAAAATATGTTAGTCCAACTGGTTCACTACTTGATGATTTATCTTTAAGGGTGGTTAGTTCAAATTGCTGCCATTATTTTTTAATATCTTTTAACATTGGTCTTTTTTTTGTAAGTTGCATTTTTTTTTTATATAACTGATTAAGGGCTAAAAACATTTTTCTGTTTCTAACCTGAAAATTCTCAGAACCGGCTCTATATACATCTCAATGAGATAGATGCGTGGAAATTGTGAGAAATACAATCTTGTTGACCTCGAAGAAAACAATGGTGGTGGGAGATGCGACATGGGCGATCAAAAGATACACCAAGAGGCAGATGACATGACAAAGGCACGGAAGCTGACGTGGCCAAAGATATGCCAACATGGATAATTCTGAAAATGTTCAAATATACGATTTAACTAGATCAGAAAATGTTAAACGTGGAAGATCCATTTATGCCTTTAATGAAGATTGCTTGAAGATGCTCGGTTTAGGATCTTAGGCAAGTTGTATAAATAGGCTAGGGGGTCGAAGAGTTTTAGATAACACTCATAGCCGCGAAAATTGAGAAATTGAATCTTGAAACTTTCACGCAAACAGAAGCTTATAAGAGAGCGTTTCACAGGTGGATGATATTAGGCTAGAAATAGTTTGAGAACAATCTAATAAGTTAAATATGTGAAACACCAAATTAGTAATCTGTTACGAGATTAACTTACAAGATTAAAAAAAAAAATTACAAGATTCTAGTGAATAAATCATTTGGCTTTGTCGGTTCCAAGTCACAAAATATTGTGTTTGTTGCGTTCTTCACTACACACATTGCTAATGTCTCCTTGAGGAGCGGCTAGCTTGTGTATAAAGGGGTTGACGCGTAGGATAAGAAAGCCTCTCAATGCCATTCATAAGAGATCAACGCGATTGAGATACCTTTAAAAAAATTTACTTCCCAGTTGTACCTTTCTATGCCGGCTTATGTTTACACTTTTATAAGATTTTGTAGATTGTTGCTTTCATGTGACTCATGTGATTATGAGCACATCATTCAAGAACTATGGCCATTGATCGCCTCTTACCGCATATTGTCCAAAGGTATAACATCGTTCTAAAAGTTCCACAAACCGCACCTAAAACCAATGCACCAAGCATTCTCCATATACATTTGCGTTTACTCTTAACTTCCATGTCTTCTCCTTATCGATAGCATTCTTAGAAAATTTGTTTAGATCAAGTAGTTGTGAGTGAGCCGCGTATAGGGATGTCCTGTTTCAAAACTCCATCAATGAAAATAATGTGGCTTGGATGAATACCCCATATTTCCATAGCTTAGTCGAGTTACTGAGTTAACTAAATGGATTAACCAGTTTAAAGGCAGTAGATAGACTCAAACGAACTTCTATGCAGTTTTAACTTCCCCGTACTCAATCCAACAATTCAAGTTTTTTCTCTCCATTGAACCCACCAAAATATGATAATTTATTTTAAAAAATTCAACAGATTAAGTATAAAATAAAGAAAAACATTTTCTTATTTTATTACAGCAAAATTAGATTTTATTTTTATTTTCTAAATATAGTAGATATATAAATTATTATTCAATTTTAGTGAGACTAATTTAGTAAATCAGTACTAAAAATGTGGTTTTTAGAGATTAGATAAAAATGTATTTTCTAAAATTTAGAAAAGACAAATAAAACAGTTTTTCAAAATTTCCTCAATAAAATTTCCTTGATATTCTATCTGATAGGAGTGATATTTAAAAATAAAATAAAATAATAGGAGTGATGTTCTTTTCCTCTTAAAGAAATCTTAGCTGTTTTATTCTTATAGAAATTTGTTTTCACCCACACCAAATCTCTCTAAATCTAAACTCTTTCATAATTAACTGAAATATGTCATCCAATACAGCTCATTAAAATCAATCATTCCATAACCCAATTAAAATCACTATAACATGTTAAAAATCCAAGGAAATTTAATGACTAGGGATTGCTTCTAACTTTTTATGTAATAATAAAATTACTGGATGCTCTATATAATAGGAGTGATCTTCTTCTTATAATCTTCAAAATTAAGTCTCAGCCGTTGGACTCTTAATTTCTTATAGAGACCGGAGCACAAAAATGGATCTTAAGGTAGAGGAAGTCAATAGAGAAGTGATCAAGCCTGCTTCTGCTTCAGCCACACCTCACAGTGACCAAATTCAACTTTCCCTCTTCGACTTCTCATCTCCACCAGCTTACGTTTCTGCGGTTTTATTCTACAACAACACCAATAATCTCAACTCAGAGATCATCTCCCAGAAGCTGAAAACCTCTCTTTCCAACACTCTCTCACGTTTCTATCCTCTCGCTGGACGAATAAAAGGCGACTCCATCAGCTGCAACAATGAAGGAGCGGTTTTCATAGAGGCAAGCACTGATCTCACTCTCTCTGATTTCCTCAAAACACTAAACACTGACTCTCTAGAGAAAATATTTCCAACCACAGCTCCAGGAGAATCTCCCAGAGCCTGGCCGTTGTTGAGTGTAAAAGTCAGTTTTTTTGGGTCCGGATCAGGTGTAGCGATTGCGGTATGCGTCTCTCACCTGATCTGCGACGCGGCCTCACTTTTCACTTTTGTCTCGGACTGGGCAGCTACAACCAAAGGGAAGTCTAGTGATGTGAAAAGTCCTCAATTTGCATCGACGACTATCTACCCTCCTCCTCATATTTCTTTTCAGGTCCCGAATATGGACGCTCTTACTCATTTCAGTGAGAAATGTGTGACAAAGAGGTTTGTCTTTGAATCATCTAAGATACCAGAGCTTAAACGTGTGGCCACTAGCGAAACTGTGGCATTTCCTTCTCGTGTGGAAGCCATCACAGCACTTATATGGAGATGTGCCACAAAGGCTTCACCAAGATCTGACTGGTCATCAATGATGAATCAAGCCATTGACTTACGGCTTAGGATCCCTTCTGATGTTCTGTCACAAGACGCCATAGGCAACTTACTAACGTTCTTCTTTCTCAAGAAAGAACCAGGGAGCGATATGGAAATCGATAAGATCGTGGCGGAGTTTAGAAAGGCGAAAGAAGGAGTAAACGAGATGATAAAAGAGAGTGTTACTACAAGCACACTTACCCAAAACTTGATGAAAGTGACTGTTGATTTCATATCAGAGTTAAAAACTAAGACAAACTTATATGGAGTGACTAGTTGGTGTAACAGGCGTTTTTATGAGGTTGACTTTGGAATGGGTGGTCCGGTTTGGGTTGGAACTAGAGCTGCTGTCCCTGATAGTCAGTTGTATGTATTGTTGATGGATGCAAAGGATGGGGAAAGTGTTGAAGCATTAGTAGGTTTACCCGAACAAGACATGGCCGTTTTCGAACGTGACCAAGAGTTGCTTGCTTATGCCACCCTAAATCCACCCATCCTCATCTAAATAAGGATTGAACCAGTGACATCTTGGTTTGGAGTAAAGGAAAACAAAATGTTGGGGTTAATTTTATCTTGATTCACTTTATGAACTTTACTTGTTTGTGCTTTATATTAATTATAATGCATGTCGCATGTGGGTTTTATCTATTTACTGTAAAACCACAAAAATGGACAGACATAAAATTGCGATTGAACTGATTATATAAACGGTAATAAGCAATTATAAGCGATTAAAATATGAACTAAAGTCAGATAAACAGTTGCAGAGGAAACAATATGAAACGGAAAGAAAGGAGGAACAAGAGGATTGAAAAACGTTTTAAGAAACCCGAAGAAACGCTGAGGCGAGATTTCTCTCTTTCCTTAACTCAAATGAATCGCCCGTTAGTGTGACGGTTCTGTACGATTCTTGAGTCCCAGGATACAACGCGCATGAGACCGTTTCGCAACACTCGAAAACGGAATCTATGAACTTAGAAAAATACTACGCTATACTCTCGGAACTTACTTAAACGAAAGAGAGACTGTTGGAAATTTTCTGTGTATTAAACTTGGTGAGAAATGAGAAAAGGGAAGGCTTTCTTTTATAGCCAAGAGAAGAGCCCGTTTTGATTTTGAAGTCAAAAACGAAATCAATTATTCCCAGCTTCATTTCTCGTAGAACTAAGTTCTCTATTGTGTTCATTTTGGCCGTGAACTTGCCTGGTTTTTCATGAGTGAACTTAGAGAATATAGCCTCACTTTCATTCTCCTAGAAACGGCCCCATTTCACACTCACTAGGTGATCTGCCTTTAACATGTATTTTAAGAAGTATCCTGTCATACTCCACATATCTAACAAAGCTATAGAATCATTAAAAGCCATTGCTTAACCTTATCACATACAGCCAGCGCCGAGCCAAGCCGAGCGAGCGAGCGCGCGCGCGCGGGGACCATCTCTCCTTCCAACAGCTTTTAGACTCCCAAGAGTCTTCTCCCCTATATAAACAAGAAGATTTCTCCTTCTTTACCCGATGTGGGACAATTCCCCCATCTCCTCATTTACATGTTGCCTTCTAAAAGGCTTTCTCTTTATGAGCCCAAGCCCATTTCGTTTTCACACATACAAAATTTTATAAAGCCCACATGCTTTATTAAAATTAGTCCAACAATCCCCCACATGAATAGAAATGCCTCTAAACATATGCAGACTTGACAATGCAGACTCGATAGACTACTGACTACACATATCCTAAAACTAGACAGACTGACTTATCGAGAGTATAGACGAAATAAACTGTGTTTGAGTAAGTAGCATTTTTCAGCTTTGAACCACTCATTGTTAATATCTGTCGGGTTTATTTGGCTAGGAGGTGAACATGATGTCTTGAACCACCTAGATTTTTATGTAAACCGAGACAACAGGTATAACCCAGCTTCATTTCTCGTAGAACTAAGTTCTCTATTGTGTTCATTTTGGCCGTGAACTTGCCTGGTTTTTCATGAGTGAACTTAGAGAATATAGCCTCACTTTCATTCTCCTA